ACTTGATCTAAACTGTTTGTTGTGGTTTCTTTAAATTAGTTGAGCATTGTGTTATTATAGTTTGCCTTAACCAATTGTGTTACATTAAATAATTGAGTGTCTGTTGGAAGCCTACTTTATAACTAGAGCCAAACCAAGATCTTGGGATTTAGCTTAGGTGTAGAGAAATGCTAGCAACAATGCCCTCATTGTAACATACACTTCAATATTGGTTGAAATTTATTGTGACTCTTTTATCACACCCTTCACTATTGATTAAAATTTATTAATACTCTTGTAACCATGTGAGTTTCACTCCTTATTTAGTGATTATGGTTGAGACTTAACAAATTTCAACTAATAACAACGAATTTGTTAGAAAAAAGGTGTTAAAGAATATACTAGTTAATACTATTATGTGAGTCCCAGTATTCCTCTTTCTCACAATAAAACGATCCTTAATTTCATCTTTCACATCTTGTCACTGCTGAATTTTTAAGGCCTTGGGTTTAGGTCTTGGAAATATGCATGTGTGTTTTGTGAGAATATCTTTCTGAAGTAGAAAATGTGTCTAGTTTATAGTTTTGTACCATCTCTGTTACTCTGCCTGTTGAGCATATAAAATGCGAAATATGAATAATTTATCTGTTCACGTAATTTCTTAACTTGGGTCTCATGTTTACTGCATTTATTGTGGGTTTATGTGATGTTCATTGAAGTTCCAAACCTTCATGATGCCTGCAGTGTATCTAATAAAATTTGGAAGAAATAAGCAAATATAGTGGTCATGTGATGTAATGCAAGTATCATAGAAATACGTCATTGGTAAGGGTATAAAGAAAGTTGCAGTTTTGGTGTTGGTAATTTTGCCTTTCAAGATGTGCACAAATCTTCCAAACAATATTTAGCTTGTACGAGTTATATACAATAGTGTAAGCTGTGTGCTATTTGATATCAGTAGTTAATTTCAGATTGCACTATAGGGGATTGGCTTAACCATTTAACCTATATGTAGCTGCTTGATGTGTAATCTAAAGCTGAAAGTAATGGGAAAATAAACAACTATGCGTGTAGGTGAACAAATTTCACTCTGCTTCTTGATGGTGTGTTTTTGTTTTTTCTTTTTCCTCCCAAAAGCGAGGTTTGGATGACTCTAAATTTGGCCTAAGTGTCTCTAGTGACGGGAAACTTTTGGTGTCCATACCCACAGGAACAATGTGTTAGAGATGCTATATGCATACCACACGAAGTTATCAAGTTGTTCTCTAACTTTTTATTACAATTCTTCATCGTTATTAAAATTATCCTCTTGCTTTCAAGAAATTTTTTAAATTAGAGTTGTTAAATAAGCTTTATGAACTTATTCTTAAAGACAGTTTTAAAAATTTATTCTTAAACTTATTTTTAACAACTAAAAAATAAATCTAAATAATAAATACGTTACCCTTATAGATTTTATCTTATTTTCTTTTAATATGATTAAAAGATAGATGTGGTAATAATAGGTAAAGGCTAATTCCAAATGAAAAAAAAAAGATAAGATGAAAATATTAAAATTTTATAATATAATTAGATGAAAATTAAAAGATAAATATCTCATAAATATAAAGTATAAATGTAAAAATATCGATATGATTTTTTTATATAAGTTTTTAGCTTAATTTTATTGATAAATTATATTTTGAAATAAATCATATTTTAAGTTTTTAATTAATTTTAAATTCTTATAATTTTTACTTTTAGATAAATTATTTTAGTCATGTTTCTCACTTTTAATTATTATAATTTTATATTCATTGTACTATTAATCTTATATTAAATTTTAGAATATTTTTAACCATATTTAAAATAAAATAATATGCACTTGATAAATGTCATATTTCCATTAAGTTAATTAATATAATACTTAAAACATCCTGAAATATATTGTTAATATAGTGATAAATGATATAAATATTGTAATTGTTAAGATAAACTAAGTAAGAAAGAGAGGGGGAAAAAATCCTAACTTTATAATATATGATGAAAACAATAATAAATATTTTAAGGATATCAAATGTTTGGAAACTCCAACTTTAAAAAGCAATAGTTGAAATACATTATAAATTTCTAAAATAATTTCTTCACTAAACATTTTTTTAATTAAACTAATTAATTCCTATAAATACTATATTTTAAAAGAAAAAAATCCTTCCTATGAATAGTGGAGATGAATAACTACTTTGTGTATGAATAAAATAAAAATAAAGAAAAAAAGGAAAAAAAAAGAGAAAAATAGTTATATTATATCATGTGAATTTATTTTTTATTATTGAATTTTGTGTATTAACGGTAAATAAGTATAGTGGATTTAATAAATTTCCAGATATTCTATTTAAATAATATTTTAAAATATATTATATTATGATATTGATTCTAAAATAATAAGAATTTTTAATAATTATTGTTTATTTAAAATTAAAAAAATTCACATAAAAATAAAATTTTAATTTTTTTCATATATATTCTATTTAACTGATGTTATTTCTCTTCCTATTCTCTCTTCAAGACATCAAAGATTTGATTAAGATTTAAATGTCAATAACTAAGACATAATATTTTTCTATTGATGTCAATTGATATTTCTTTTATATTAAAGTTGATTATAATTAAAAAAAAAGTTATTTTGAGTATTTTTTTTAGTTGATTTCAAATCAAGTTTATTTATTTTTTGTTGAAATTACAATTATTTTTCATTTGATATGGTTTGATTATATTTTTTTTATAATGTGAATTAGAATGTAAATCAGGATTAATTTTTGACCAACATTAGTTAAGAGTTTTGTTAGACTATGATTTGTAGGACATTTTTTGGTTCATGTCAACCACTTTTTTTTCATCATAACAAATAAGACTATTTTTCAATCGACTTAAATAAATATTTTTAGTCAATATTGGAAATATTTTCCTATTGATATTGAGGAGATTTACTTATCTATTAATATAAGTTAGAACTATATCTTGATTGATATTTCTCAAGATTTTCACTCACCAATGTTAGTGAAATTATTTTTCAATGTCAACAAATTCTTTTAAGTTAAAATTTATATTCGTTATTTTTAGTTAATGTCTTAATTAATATATATATATATATATATATATATATATATATATATATATATATATATAATCGGTATCAGTGTTACATGATCTTGTAGTATTTTTTATTTAATAGTAATTAAAATATTCCATCTAACTAAAAAAAATAAAATTGAATAAATTTAAATGGTCTAATCTATTCAAAATATTTGAAAAATTAAATTATTTAAAATAAAAAAAAATCAAATTTAATATATTTAAATTCTTAAAAATTATAAAAATTTTAAAATTTTTAATCTAAACACAAGTTAAAGTTTAAAATATAACCTAACCATATACACTAAGAAAAACTTGCATATTTTGAATATTGTATTTTATAAATTTAATTTACAAAATTTTAGATATTTAAAATAAAATAAAAGAATCGACACGTATTTATTAAATAGTTATTCATTAAAAAATATATTAAGATGAAAATAAAGGAGATGAGTTTCTTTACATCGTTTTAGTAAGTTATATGATATATATACATATATTTTCAAAAACTTTGAAACAAATATTTAATGTAAGTTAAATAATAAGAAAAAAGTATTAAAATTGTAAATAATTATTAATTTATTTAACTATTTATTGAATCTACATAAATAATCCTCACAATTCTCTGATATGTATTCCAACACCACGTGTGTCTAATATTCTGTGCCATGATTGTATTGTTAGGGCTAACTCTGAAGCAATATCTAAAAGTGTGACATTATTTAAAATTTAAGATTAAAGATAATTTATAAATATTTTTTAAACAAATTATTTTATAACATAAATTAGTTTATAAAAAATTAGAAATAAACATCTACAAAAATAATTTTTATTCATGAATTAATTTTATTTTTTTCTTATTATTTTACTTGTAGTAGTTATAAAAAGTTCTAAAAAATATCATGTGTAAAAACTAAAATAAAATAATTAAAAATAATATCTGTAAAGTTTAAAAACATATACATCATTGTTCTCGCATGTATATAAGATGTCGCCATCTTCGTCATCAACATCCATGAGATTTTCATGTGGCCACAACACTTGACTTCAATTAGGTACCAATCCAAATCAAACTATTAAAACATACCAAATAAAGAAAACTTCTCTTTCAATTTTATCAATATGCATGCTTTTATTATAATAAAACTCTAACCTTTATTTGGTTAAAGTTTCTAATTTTGCTTCACTAAAAAGTACTCTTTCTTTTTTTCAATTTATTGCTCTTCTATTTAATGTTATTCTCGTCTTAAAATAGAACAAGAGCAAATACAAAAAATACTTGTTAAAGCATATTAAAAATATAAGAGACACCATCAACAATCCTTTTCCAACTCATCTGCCAATTAGTATAATGTTTGAAATCAATTATTAAGGAAATATAGTTGTCAAAGCAAATAATTTCATCATTGCGTAAAAGAGTTTTATTCCCAAGTTTTAAAAAAAAAAATGAACTTTTTTCTTGATTCCTTAAATTATTGAACTTTGAAATAGAAAAACACATCTTCAAAGACCATCTGCTTATTATTACTTATTAGCTGGCCAACACGAATTGAGTGACTCACAAGTCAAATTAAACCCACTATTCTAATTATTCTATTTTGCTTAATTATTGTTTTGTTTTCTTGTTCTTTATTTATTTTTTTTCAAAATTGTAATATCTATTTCTTTAATTTTGACTCAGGAATGGTTTTTAATGTTTTTTAATAAATGTACATATTGTTTTAACTATTTTTAGTATCTAATTATATTATTTTAATATATTTTATTTTTTAAAAGATATTTAGATATGAAAACTAAAAGATAAAAACTTGATTAACTATAAAGATTAAATAAATAATTCTCTTCTTTTAATTTTAGCCCCTCCTTCAATTAATCCTTGCAAACACACCCCTCTTCTCTCCACTTAAATGCAGTTCAGTTCAACTTCTACACAGTGTGTGCAATTAAATCCTCCACCAATGTTGCCGCCGCCGAACCATCGCCGGAGTTCCGCTCCCGCAACGGCCATAATTCCCGACTGGATCTCAAACTCGATAAATGGCGGATCCCTCCGCCACGTCAACCTCCACACTGGCACCAATGGCTGGACGTCGCCGCCGGGCGACGTGTTCTCCCTCCGCTCCGCCAGCTACCTCAAGAACCGCCAAAAATCCCCAGCTGGCGACTACCTCCTCTCCCCGGCCGGTATGGATTGGCTCAAATCATCTGCGAAACTCGAGCACGTGCTAGCACGCGCGGACAACCGCGTGATGCACGCTCTACGGAGATCGCAGCAAACCCTAGGCCAGTCTATGAAGAGCTTCGTCTTCGCCGTGAACCTCCAGATCCCCGGCGGCAAGGAGCACCACAGCGCGGTATTCTACTTCGCGACGGAGGATCCAGAACCGCTCCGAACCGGTTCGCTACTGAACCGGTTCGTGCACGGCGACGACACGTTCCGGAACCAGCGGTTCAAGCTGGTGAACCGGATCGTGAAGGGACCGTGGATCGTGAAGAAAGCCGTGGGTAACCACAGCGCATGCTTGTTAGGGAAAGCGTTGAATTGCACATACCATAGAGGGAACAACTACCTCGAAGTCGACGTCGATATCGGGAGCAGTGCGATTGCGAACGCGATCCTGCACCTGGCGTTGGGATACGTGACGGCGGTTACGATCGACATGGGATTCGTGGTGGAGGCACAGACGGAGGAGGAGTTGCCTGAGCGGTTGATCGGTGCCGTTCGGGTTTGCCAAATGGAAATGGCGTCTGCCACCGTGGTGGAAGCGTTGCACGTGGCGCATGTGCCGCGTGGGGTTGGGTTGGCCAGAGTGAATCACCATAAGTCTGCTGATGATCTTGCTTTGGCTGATTAGATTATGATTATTTTTTTAATTTTAATTGTTCTCCTTTGGATTTTAATTTCTCATTTTTTGGATATGCAGAAAATAATGCCATTGTTTTACACCTTAGTGCCAATAAATTTACTGAAGCAAGTAATTAACAGCATGTCTAGAAAAGGTTAACTTTGAAGATTTTAGTGTTTTTTTTATCAAATTGATTATAATTTCATGTGCAAGGTTAGCCCATTTTTATTACATATATTAGTTATTTTAAAAATATTTTTCTATAAATTTATCTAAATAAAAATTGATTTTGATTGAGTATTTAAAATAAATTGTTTAATTAAGAATACAAATATTATTTTATTACAATTTCATATATAAATTGTTTAAAATTGAAAAAATTATTTAATTAATAAAATTATTTAGATAAAAGTTCTTCTTTGATTGGAATAAATGAATTTGTGTAATTTTAAGTAACTTTTATATATATATATATATATATATATAATTCATAATAAAATAATATTTTTATTTATAAATAATTTTTATAAACAATTGCATTTAAAGATTTACAAGTAATTAAATATATATAATCAAAATTGAAATGTATTTATAATTTCTACAACTTTCTTTACTTAATTTTTGTTAGTTTTAAATCGATTATAGTTTTTCAATCTTTATCCTAAAATTTTATATTAGTTTGTGATGTAATTATTAGGGGTGTCAAAGTGAGCCAACTCAACTCACATGGGTTGGCTCACCACGGGTTGAGCCGAAAATAAGTGAGCTCAATCCGGCTCATTTTTTAGCGAGCCAGAAATTTTACAATCCGGCTTAACCCATCACGAGTTGGTGGGTTAGGTGAGTTTGCTTATTAACTCATATTTTTTTTAATTTTTTAAATTATATAGAAACTTCGGATATAGAAACTTATGTTTTCTTCCTTTCTTTCTTAATATCAAGTATCTTCGTTATTAACTCGAAATTGACTTATTGAGTTTTTTATTAATAATAAAATCATCACCAATACAATTTACATTGACACTTTGATGTATTATTTCAGATTCCATACTGTAAATTAATTTAAAAGAAAGAAGTCAAAAATTCATATATTAAACATATATACGTATAAATCAATAATAAACAACAAATAATGTATATAGATACTACAATTTTCAAATAAAGATTCATCAATCCAATAGTTTAGGTTATGAAACAAATTCTTACTTTTGAAAGCAATACAGTGGACATGGTGTAATGGTGTGGTGGACAGATAATAAGACAAGTGACCAAACTGCAGCGGCAAACGTCATGGTGCAGCGAACAACTGATAACAAGTTTAAGTGAGGGTTTGACTTGTGGTGACAACTAACAATGTAGAATAGAGATAAGATAGGATAACATCAATTAGGGTTACTAAAGTATTATAATTATTTTTAAAATTTAAAATAAATGAATAATTAAGGTTAATATGTTATTATAATTATTTTTAAAATTTAAAATTAATGGTGGGTTGCAGACTAACCCACCATAACCCGGCTCGAACCCGTTTAACCCGTGGGTTAAGTGAGCCGAGTTCATTTTTAGCCTATAATCGATAAAAAAAAAATCGAACTCAACCCAACTTGAACCCGTGGTGAACCAGGTTGGCTCATGGTTAGAACTCATATTGATAACCCTATTAATTATGATATTTAAATGTGAATAGATTGTTTGGTAATTTAAAAGTTAATGTTTGGGATAGTCCATCTCCGGCTTCTACTAACAGATTCACCTATTCTTTCTGCCTTTTATTACACTTTTTTTTTTATGATTTTCATTTTTAATTTGTTTCTGTATATCCTTATTGAAGATATAATTATGTTGATTTAATGATAATAAATAAGAGTAGGAAAAATGGAAGATTAATAAAACAATTAAAAAAATCAATAAAATAGAGATGAATTAATTTTTTTCTTACCATAATTGGTAATCAATGATGAGCATATAATTGAACACGTATACCATTAAACTTGTTATGGAGGGTAAGAATAACGCATATTGGACATTCCTTTCTTTAAATGAAAGGGATCATAAAATCTTATTCTTGTTCTCCATTTTGAGCTTCACAATTTAAAAAAGAAACAAAATGTGGTAAGCTGAAAATCTTTTTTTTTTTTTTTTTGTACAAAGTTTGTAAAGTAAAATCTTATATTCATACCACCCACCTACAATTTATTACTCATGTTTTTTTATAATAAAAGAAAAATAAATATATGCTTAGGTAGATAACAGATGACAACATGGGTAAGCTGGAATTTAATCAATTTTTCAGTATGGAATCAACCCTCGTAGTGGCCCTATTCCAGCAAAGTCCAGGTTGGTTGACCTGAATGGGATTTAATATATATATATATATATATATATATATATATATATATATATATATATATAATTAAAATTAATGGTGAGAATAAAATAATGAACTAAGTTGTTGTCATAATTATAATAAAGTCAATTTATATATTTTAATATTTCAAAAAGATTTTTATATTACTTAAATTGATGTCAGCGGCAACAAATTCACACTGTTTAAATAAAATTTTGATTTCCACATTCTTGAAATGAATAATTCAAATCTAGTTATTAAAGAATGTATATAGTTGCTAACTAACACAAACTTAAAAATATATTTATTTTAATAGAAAATTAGCTAAATTATGTTAAAGATGATTTTTTAACAAAACACTCCATTCACTTCTTAAATTATCGACGGATATTTATAGATAAATATGTATCTCGTTAGAAAATAAGTGATTATTGACATAAATTTCGATAAATTTAGAATAGTTGTAGAATTTGGTCTTACCGAATGAATAATTAATTACCGACAGATATATCCATTGATAAATTCGTCGGTAAATGAATAATTAATTATTAACAGATATATTTGTCAATAAATTTGTCGATAAATCTATCAATAAATGAACAAATAATTATCGACGGATATCCGTTCAGTAAATTATAATTTTGGTAAATGGACAATTAGTTACCGACAGATATATCCATCGGTAATAATTTGTTCACGACAAATTTACCGATGAATTTAAAGCATATTTTAAAAAATAAATATTAAATTAAAAAAATTAAATATTTAAAATTATATAATAATTACTTAATTTTAAATATATTCTAATAAATACGACACACACTTTCATCGTTGAACGCGCCCTCACATCCAACATATAAATATATAACTATATAAATATAATTTATTTATAAATTATTATTAGAAAAACTTAATAGTTTAGTGGTTGAAGTATCGAGTTCTAACTCTAAAGATCGAGTTTGAATCCTATCAATACCAATTCTCTTCATGTGATTCTAAAAATTGTAATAAATAATAAAAATATGTCCTATTTACCGACATATTTTGTCGGTACTTTTTATTTCATTTAATTTATATTTTTTAAAATATTCTATAAACTTTAATTAATGCTTTTAACCATCGTTATCTTAAAATATTTCATAAACAAATTAACATCAGAATAATTAATTTGTCGCCCAATTTTACACAGCATACCTACTGCATATGTAGTGTTGATATGGAGGGATATATATACTCTCAGAAAAAACAAATTGCAACTGAGAGGAACTATATCTGTGTGTGATATATGGTTTCAATTGCCATTATTTCATTAGGATAATCAATATTTGTTATGCTACACCAATACAAAAGAAATAATTATGGGAAGATGGCAAAGAAAGAATTGAGAAAGTGATACATACACACAACAAAGTCTGCATAAACTACAATTATGTGTCTGCTCTTTATTTTCCATTATGCATAGTGAATCTTGGTTGCTGCACTATTTTACATGTATATCTTCTATGCATTAGTTGATCCACAGAAGCGCCTAATTTCACCCTCATCACCAGTTTTGACTCCAATACTTGTGAGCTTCAAGAAAGACTGGCCCCAACTTTCAAAGAAAAACTCTTGATCATTAGCCAAGTCCTCCACCAATTTCCTTGTTCTATTGTCACTTAGCAAGGCAGAATCAGATTGGAATAACCCCTTGTTGGTGAGAAGATTTCTATAGTACTGGTTGTCAAAGACCATGGAAGTTTGAGGATCATTGTTAACTTTTACTGATGGGCTTGCACTTAAGGGACACTCCTTCATTAGCTCATCAGCATAGCTACTGTCAAGGGTTTTGTCAATGAGTGTGAGCTTACCCTTGGAGTCTTGTCGGAACCTATCCCTGAATGAGCTGCAATGAGATGTTCCTATGGTGTGTGCCCCTACAAAGCCAAAAGAAGTACGTTACTATCATATTTCATCTTAAAACCCTTGTCCAACTCCAAGATTTGAAGCAGGTTTGAGGAAGGTGATATAATACTTAAGAGTTACATAGTGTAAGATATATCCATGTACCCTATAGGAAGGGTTACTGTAAAGTTAAAGGATAAGATATCATGAGGTTGAACAAGCTACCGACTCAGAATTCTAATAAATGTGGTGGGTAGGTTTCCATCTACAAAGCATCAACAATTCAATTCTTTCTACCTAACAGAATGTATTGTCTAGCCTCATGCCTTTATTGGGTTTTCATCACAATCATGATGAAACACATGGACAATTACCCTTTTAAGAATAAAGGGTAGGGGAAGAGACTGAAAATCAAAGGAATGATACTTACTAAAGAGAAGCATGCCAATAGTATAGGACAAGAAAATACTTGGAAGAATATGAACCTGAAAGGATGACAAGGTCAAATAAGGACAACCCTTTATTGGAGAAGCGGTTAATCATCTCATCCATTGTAAAACTTGTGTCCAAAATGTTGGGTCTTACATTTGAAGCAAATGAAACCATGCCATCTCTCCTTCCAGTGGGAATTTGAATCATAGGACCACCAGTCTGTTCTCAAGTGAGTATGCCACTCAGATAAATTGCCATAACAAACTAGATGTTGATGCATTTTTTTAAGAGTATAAGCACTCTAAATAATGAGGATAAGTGGGTAACTTACAAGTTCAACAGCATCTCTAGCAGCCAAAGCAATTATGTCAGCACATGAAACTGTTCCGGGACAAAGGAACTCAAGGACTCTTTTTGTTGATTCTATAACTGAAAATCCTCCAATAGACCTATTTGCTGGATCACTTTGTTCTGTATTGTTCCCTAATAGCATCAAAGATGCATCACATCCCTACATATCATGAACTGATTGATTACCATCTTAAAAGCTAAAACCCATTTGAATTTTACATCACATAAAGGAAGCACTAGAACAAAAGAAACCACATTCCTAGTATGATTTTTGTAGAATTTAGACTTGGAGTCTCATTCAAACTAACAAACCAGCCTCTAAGATTAATTAGTCTATTTAAGGAAAATCTTAAATTAGTAATTTTAATCTTTGATAAGAAAATCAGTAACTAATTCTAAACACACACGTACATAACAAATTAAATCGTGCATGTGTTTTTGTATCATGAACAACTGAGATTACCCACTTTATCCTTACTCATTTTAGAAAAATCAAAGTCCAAGTAAAGGAATCTGACTTCTCCGAAGTGAACAACTCACTTTAAATAACAGAACAAATAATTCTAGTAATTGATTAGAAAATCAACTCTTGACATTATGTGCACATTCATAATGGTACATCAACCAACTGACAAACATAACTGAATTTAAAGGATCTAAGTCCAAGCACAAGAGGGAAATACAGAAAATGCGAAAGATAAATATACTCATAATTACAAATACAATATAAACGTATACATGCAAAATTAGTGCCTAGGTGCAAGAACATGTGATGGGAAGGACTAATAGTAGTATAAACTAACCTCCACAAAGCAATCATGAAAAACCAAGCGAAGTAGCTTCCCAGGAATTGAAGGATCAGAAGCAGAAGATGAACTGACAGTGTTTCTTACAATGAGTTCTGCTGTTGGGCATGAAGGTGCATAGAAGTTGAAAACCAGGCTTCCTGAAACAGAAGTAGCCAAAATGAAGACAATAAAAAGACAAGAAACTGCTACGGGAAAAGGAAAAGCCATTGCTCCTTTCTCCATAGAACCAAGTTTTTAGTCCTTTTGAGTAAGGGCTCAGTGTTTGCAGTGAGCAGAATCTCTCAGTCACATGATAATGATAGAGAATAGAGATACATACAGTAAAATATGGCCAGGAAATAGACCAAATTCAAAGCTACATTTATGTGGTAGGATGAAATCAGTGGCATGACATAAATGTTAGAGGTTATGGTCATGCATTATCCTAGCTCTCAAGCATTTAAGATGCTTCCTGGTAACTCTATAACAGTGATTATTATTACGTTACATCAACCATAGAATAGTTATCTCAACCATGTGCTATGGACAAGCATGCATTATAAGAGGCTTGTTTTACACCAGATGTGAATGAAAATCTCTATGATGAAGAATCATCAAAGAAGAGTACTTTCACCATTTCATTTGCACAGCTAACTATAAAGGTCCACCAGACTTTATTGATCTAACACTAGTTAATGTTGCCAGACAAGAAGAGAGAACAAAAGGAGAGGAGGTTTAAACAGTAATTAATGTATCAACATTTTTTCCATTAGAAATTATCTGTAAATTTACGATTTTCATTAATTTTTTAAGGATCTCATATATCTGGAAGAATTCTCTCAATTAATTTGAACACAGTTCTTTAATCAGTATGTTTATGCATTATTATTATTATTATTATTATTATTATTATTATTATTGTATGATAATAATTTTAAAAAATATTTATATAAGATAGCAGTAAGAATTTAGAATTCAATAAAGCATCACATTATATCCACTTAACACAGGTTTCCACAAACATTTTAATTTAATGAAACCATTATCATCCTTTTTCCTAACCTTTATTAAACTAAGGGAATTGGTAAGGAGTGTCACTGCTAATCTTTTGAATTATAATCTAAAAGAGAAAATATAATCTTTTTACGAATATTATTTCATATATATAAATATGTTGGATAAAATTAAATATTAGATTTAAAATATTAGTTTGGATATTTTGTTTAAATATATATTTTAGAAAAAAAATTAGGAATTATAATATCAGATGTTAAAAGATAAAGTCAAATTTGAACCTATAAATATTCATTTGTATTATTCAATTTTTACAATAAAGATTAATAACAATATTCAATTTTCATAATCTTTTTTATCAAATGGATATAAAGAGCTAGGTTACGTGAGTGTTTGAGTGTGTGAAAGCCTCAATAAAGTGATGGTCAGTTTAGTAAATAGCGTGTCTCTACCTTAGTGGAAAAAGAAGTCAACTATGATAATTGAAGGTCCTTCTTGGATCCCAAGATAATTAGGTGATAGTCGATGATAGTTTTGAAAAAACCAGAAAGTACCATAAGAATTTCAACAACTACAAACAAAACATTGAAAGAGAAACGTGTGAAGGATAAAATAGCCATGTACATGTTGTATTGAACAATTGATGAATTTGACTTTGAGATGATAGAAAGTGCTAAAACTTTAAAAGAAGCGTGAAATGCATTAGAGAGAGCATACAAGGACGACGATTGAGTCAAGCAAGTTCGATTATAAATATTATGTGGCGAGATGAAGAACATGAGAATAAAGAAGTCGAAAGGAGTCTCCTAGTACATAACATATGTTGAAACCAAGGTGAATAAGCTTAACTAGAATGGAGAGACGTTTTTTAGAGTTCTATTATGGAGAAAATCTTGAGGTCGTTAACAAGATTTTGAGAATGTGTGTGTGCGATAGAGGAATCAAAGGACTTGTCTGAGCTCATGATACAAAAGTTGTTGGTTTTCTTGAAGTCCATGAGTACCAAAAGAAGAAAAAGAAGGAGGAGATAATAATTCAAACGCTTCAGAGAGAAATTGTTGTGAAAGAAGAGAATGTTCTCTACTATCTGAACACTCGAGGTAGAGGACGAGGACATGATGATCGAGGTTGAGGTGGTATAGATCATGAGGAGAAAGAAAGAAACCAATTGATAAGTGCCAAAAATTAGTAAATTTTCACATGGAATGATGACATTATTGTTTCAACTTGTGTATATTTGGTATCAATTTCCCCTAATTTAAGAATGATGAAATATAATCATATATTTCCAAGTTTTAATTAAAGAGAAAATCATTTGATCCTCATTTTGTATATGTTTCAGGTAAATTAAGAGAGAAGGAGAAAGGGGATTAAAAGAAGAAGAAGAAAGGAAGGCACAGAGGAAAAAGTCATGAAATCTTACCACAACTCACTCAAGCTAGAATGATATCGCCTAAGCAAGATTCGTCCAGAGAGCGATTAATTCGAAAGTCATTCTCGCTCAAGCGAAAATTATCTCGCTTGAGCGAGATTCGTCCAGAGAGTGATCAATTTGAAAGTCATTCTGGCTTAAGCGATAATAATTTAGCTTAAGCGAGAACTCGTGCAGTATATATACTTTGTGGTTTAGAATGTGAGGCGACGAAAATAAGGGGGTGCCGATTTTGACAAGATTAGGGAAAGTTCTTCTTCAATTTTAGTTTTAGGATTTTCTTCTTCTTCTCTAAGGATGTCAATGACTACCATGAGTGACTAATCTTTTCTTTTGGGATTGAATGTAATCGATTTGAACTCGGTTGAAATTTGGTGATATCTATATATAGCTTTTTTGTTTCTATTCAATATTGGCATTTTTGTTTTGCTCTGAATGTTTGATTCTATCTGATCAATAGATTCGTGAATGTGATTTTTAGACATGACTAGAAAGTATTTATAAAATTCTTATCTAAACAAAAATACTTGATGTATTGTGATGCTAGGAATAGATTTCAGTATATCAATTGCTTTTAACACTTGAAAAGAATGCTGGACAATTTGTTGGAGATGTGAGGAATTGATATCTAGGGAACTGTTGAATTATTGACAAGCGTATCAAAATTATCAATCGCAGTATAGTATTTCGATTAAATAAAAGTCGATCCCACGAGGAACAGTTTCAATGGAAATTCCCAATTATGCTTATTAAGTAGATTAAAACATATTGGTTTTTGTAATAAGAGTTGAATTGAAATTAAATGACAAAGAACTGTAAATTTTTGAGAAAATATCAATTAAAGATACTTAGGATTGACTTCCTTCCTTATCCCTCTTTTGTAATGACTAAATCAATTAAGAACGTCAATTAACCTAACAATGTTGATGCCACCTACTCAAATCATCCATGTTGATTCCTCACACATGAAATTCATAAGAAAACCTAATAAATGTTGATTCCTCACACAATTAAGAGATTTCCCAGCATTAGGTTTAGGGTGTTAAGCAATTGATACATTCATTCCATTCTTGGCAATTAACGTAACAAATTTTCTTACCGTGATTTAGGGTTCAAGATATATTTTCCAATCATACCTCAAACATCAAGAATAAATCATTCCAAAGCATAAAGGATAAGAATAACAACATCAAAGCATATATTAATATATCAAAATATCACCATGATACAAAAGAGTTCAAAAGAAGTGCACCGAATCTTAAGAGAATGAAGTTAGTCACTCATGTTGGCCATTACAATGCTCCAATTGATGAAGAAATGAAGAATTGATGAAGATTAGACAAAACCCTAACAGTAGTCGTGCCTCCTCTCCTCCAAGACTGCTTGCTTTTCTCAAAACACAACTTATCTTTTTATAAGAGAATTTGGACCGGACCTCGCATCATTCATTCGTTTAAGCACTATTCTTTCTTTCAATTTTACTCCAATTATGCTGACAATTATGTTCTTTACTCTTGTATCAATGTATTCTCGAATTCATCCTATATTAGGAGAAAAATATATTAGAATTAACATAAGTTAAGTGGTTTTATAACAATTCAAGGCATAATTATATCAACTTTTTACCACTTAACAGGAACCAGTCTTATGAATTTTATACGTGAGACATCAATATAAATAATTATTGTGTGTTGCATCAATATTCGTAAATTCAGATGCTATATGTTTATATTTATCCAGCTTACAGAATAGTGAGATAGATGAAATTCAATCTCAACTTCTCTCTTTGAATCTTTTCTAATCAATCTACTACCATTATATTATTTTCATACAAATTTAGTATAAATCATTACTATCAATCATGAATCAAATGGATATCCTTGTATATATGCTGTTTGAGATAAACTATTTGTTTTAATTGAACCCATTCATCATGGGATCAACACTTTCACTAAAAAAAAATTATTATACTATAGTTGATTATTAGTACGCTTGCCAAAAGGCCAACACCAACAAAATTGGCATGGTAGAGGACGTGGTTGGAGAGGAGGTCAGTCGATGAGTCACTCAAATATTAAGTGTTTTAAGTGTGACAAATATGACCATTATGCAAATGATTGTTACACGAATAAGTATTACAATTGTGGGAAGATAAAACATTTTGCAAAAGAATGCTGAGTTGAGAAAAAAGTAAAAGAGACCTATTTCACAAACGAGGAAAAAACAATAGTTCTAATGCCCAATTTTAACTCGACAAATAGTAGTAATAAAGTTCGAGAAGATACCGATCACAATTCAGTATGATATTTGGATAGGATGCAAGTAACTATATGTGTGGGGACAAACATCTATTTAAAAAACTGAAGAAGGTAGAGACTAGAAGTGTGTAATTTGGAAATGCCTCAAAGATTTCGATAAAAGGTCAAAGTACGATCCACTGCTTGTAGAGGGATGACCTAGTTGGGTCGATCCATGATATGTACCATGTTACTTATATCAAAAGTAACATTTTGAGTATGAGATAATTGATGAAGAGATATACTCGTTATTCATGAAAGATCAAGTACTGTAATTGAAGGATAAGCTTGGGAGGCTGATTGCCTGAGTGGAGATGGGAAAGAACATAATGTACAAGGTACAGTTAAAAAATATTCAAAAGAGGTGTTTGAAGCTTAACATAGAGGACACAATGTTGACGTGACATCATTAGTTTGGTCACTTGAATTTGGTGGTCTAGCCGGACTTTCAAAGAAGAGCATGGTGCTCAGATTACCAAGCATGGAGTGTAAGGGCAGATTTTGCAAAGAATGTGTGCTCAGTAAATAGGTGAGGATCCCATTAAAAAAAATGTCAAATATAGAGCAAATGAGCAACTTGGACTGATTCATATCGATATGTATGAGCTAATTATCCCCGAATCATTCAGTGGTAAGACATTTTATGACTTTTGTTGACAACTTCTCAAGAAAGACATGGGTATATTTTTTAAGAGTGAAATTCCAGTTGTTTAAGTTGTTCAAAAAGTTCAAGGTAATGGTGGAAAAGATGATTGAGAGGCATATCAAGTCAATGTGATATGATGAGTTTACATTGATAACCTTCACAAAATACTGTGAAGATGATGGTGTGGCTGACAGGAAGAACCAAACTGTTCTTAATATGGTTCGATTTATGTTGAAGACCAAGAATATGTCAAAGGAGTTATGAGCAAAAGCATTGTAGTGTGCCATTTATGTACAAAATATATGTTCACATGCAAAATTGGATGGTGTAACATTGCTCAAGGCATGAAACGGTAAAAAAACCTACCATGTCTCATCTTAGAGTGTTCGAAAGTATTGCTTATGAAGTAATGCCCTCTTAACAAAGGACAAAACTTAAAGATAGGAGTAAGAAGTATGTCTTCATTGGATATAATAAGAAGACGAAAGCTTATATGCTAACAAATTCGATCAACAAGAGGGTGATCGTAAATCATTATGTCCGAGTTGATGAGAGACTCATTGAAGGATGTTAGAGGAAGTTGAGCTACTATACCACCAATTATAACTAGTTCAAAAACTGAGGAGGAGAAAGAACTATAACCCAAAATGTGGAGTTTACAAGACTTGTACAACTTGACGAATGAAGTACATGTCGTGTGTTTTTTCGCAGATTCCAAGGACATAAGATTTGAGAAAACAATGTGTGATGTGAAGTGGCGAATTGCTATGGATGATAAGATCTGAGCAATAGAAGAGAATGATGACTGTGTTATGAACCCACTCATAACCAATCAGTGTAAAGTGGGTATTCAGGAAGAAGATGAATGCATAAGAAGAGGTAGAACAATATAAATCTTGGTTGGTTGCAAAGGGCTACAAGCAAAAAGAAGGGATAAACTATTATGAGGTGTTCACTCTGGTGGCGAGGGTGGAAATTGTTTGGTTGCTAATCTCTTTGACAGTATAGTACCAATGGTCGATCATACAGATGGATGTTAAGTCGATATTTTTAAATGATATCCTCAAGGAGGAGGTGTATATCAAACAATCACCTGGATATGTGAAGAAAAGAGAGGAGATGAAAGTTTTGAGGTTGAAGAAGGCTCTTATGGGCTAAAGCATGCTCCTCAGGCATGAATAATCAGATAAACACCTACTTCAGAGAGAATGAGTTTGTATAATGTCCTTATGAACATGCCTTGTAGTTGTATGTGAAGAAAAGTAGAGGTAATGTGATGTTTGTTACTTTATATGTCAACGATCTCATTTTTATGAGAAGTAATTATGGAATTATTCAATAGTTTAAGAGTATAATGACAATTGAATTTGAGATGACTGATTTGCGTGTGATGAAGTTTTTTTTTACTTGGAGGTTACACAGGAGGATTTAAGGATATTTGTATCTCAAAAGGTGTATGCAAATGAGATTTTGAATAAGTTTAAGATGAGGGTTGTAATCCGATCTCAACCCCCATGGAACCAAGAATAAAACTTTCAAAGTTTGACAGAAGAGACTGAGTTCTGAGCATATATCAGAGTTTAGTGGAAAACCTTTGTTACCTTACAAGCATAAGACCATACCTATTATTGAGCATTGAGATTGTTTATCGGTTTATGGAAAATCAAGCAATTTTTCCTATAAGGTATGCTTAAGCGAATACTAAGATATATATAAGGTAGAATATTACTCGAACTGTTTTATATAAGATCAGACAATTACTGACTCATTAAGTACTTGAATAATTATTGATGTGGAGATGTGAATGATCAGAAAAGTGCATCGAAATATATATTTTTTTTATGAAGAACACAATATTCACTTAACTTTTGAAAAAACCGTCATAGTGACACTATTAACATGTGAAACAGAATATGTAATAATACTGTGGAGTATAGATCATGCAGTGTGACTCTAATATTAGTGAAGGATATCAACACTCAACCCGTGTGGATAATTAAACAATAAAATGTAACTTAAAAACAAAATTTGACTTTAAATAAAACTTATTAATAAAATAAAAAGTATCTTCCTATTTCAACTTCTCATTTTCTCCTCCTCTAAACAATTACACACCCCTGTTCTCGTTATCTAACTCAACTCCGTACCCACTTTTTACATAACTTCTATTTGCATTCTTTCTCTTTATACATAAGGGGCTATAGAAAAAAAGAAACGAAGACAAAATCTAGTTATTTTTTTCCTTCTCCCTCCCACAAGACCCCTCTCACTCCTCCCCCTCACCTCGCTCGCGCTATGCCACCACCCACATCTCTCTCTCCCCGTCACTTAGCCCTAACCACCGCGCCACCAGCCCTGTGTCGTGAGCGACCCCTTATCACATCCAGCACCTTCAATCCCTCCCAAATAGCCACCCTATGCCCTAGCCAGTCACAACCACTACCCTGTGGCCTCCCTATCTCGACCACCATCACTACCTCTCCTAACCCAAGTCTGCACCTTCTCATTCACTCTCTCCGATTGAGCCTCACCGCAGCCCCTCACTCCCAGTCTCCCCTTCGCCTGCGAAGGCCACCAAATCCACACCCAAACCACCTCCGAACTACAGCGAGCATATACCCTCACTCTCGCTCTTGCCGCGAACCAGCCACCAAGTGCCAAGTCCTAGCTACTGCCTCCAAACCGGCCGTGCCGCCACATCGCTGATCGCGAGCCAAACCATGGATTGTTGGTTTGATGTAGCGCTGCTGGTGGTTGTTCATCCTTGATTCTGTTTGTTTGGGTCTGGATTCAATTTTACGCACCCGGTTAGTTCCTTTTTACGCACCCGCGTCAAACTTTTAATTCAATTTTTAATCTGTTGCACTAGTTCTTTAACATGACTAAGCCTTCGTTTATTTTTATCATGATTCGTCAGAATTAATTATGTTTGATTTTGTTATTTTAAATTTATTTGCGTAGAATAGTAATAAGGTTTACACGAGGAAAATCAACTTTTTATCTATGAAGAAAAGGCTTAAAAATGATGTATAACATCTAAAAAATTATTTTTATCCTGATAATTATATACCATTGTATAATTGATTATTATGATCCATATAATAAATTATGTCGCACAAGATTATTAATTATATATGCTCACATAATCTATTATGAGTTTGATTTTTACATGAATATTTTAAATTTTATTACATAATTTTTTTTATATGTATTATCAAATTGTAAATATTTATATTGAGTTTATGTTTAATTTATTTTGATAATTTTTTATAAAAAATAAATTGATTTTTTAATTAAAATTAATTTATCCTTAAAACTATTATAAAAATGATCTTATATAAAATTTTATTTCTTGTAAAAATTAAATTTATTATATTCAATTTAATAAATATAAATAAAATTTGCATAAATATATAATCAATTTTATTATTTTAAGAAAACATTTTTTATCAATAACATAATTTAATAAAAATTATTAAAAAACTGTTTAATAATTCATATATTATTTAGCAATGATTCATTAATAATTTTTTAATTAAAATACACTTTTAATTATTATAAAAAATATAATATAGTTTTTTTAATTGATTATTTAATAAGAATATATTAATTAATGTAATTTTTTTAAAATGATTTAATTTTAATATATATTTATATACTATTGAAAACATATAATTTATATAATTTTAAATAAATAATAAATTTGAAATTAAATTTTTTAATTAGAATATTTATTTTAAAAATAATTTTTAATAAACATAAAGTATATAATAATATATAAAAATGATTTATAAAAATAGATTTTATTTATTCATTTATTTATTTTAAAAGATAATATAAGAATAATTAACTTATATTAATATTTATTCATAATTCATATATAAATTAATTTTATTTTTATCCATTTTATTAAATAATTATTTTATATTAAATCATCTCTATCTCAATTTTAATTTATATTTATTTTTAATAAAATTATGAAAATAATATTTTAGTCATTTATCATTTTATTTTATTATTTAATATTTTTTATTTAATCAAATCAATGTTATCTTTTATTATCTAGTTCTTTCTTTTCATTTTTTTTATTATCTTTCTCTCCATCCAAATAATTTTATTATTTATTTTTTTTTTTTTACTCTCACAAATCCACTGCTCAATCCAAAAATAAGCTAAGCAATTTATATTGTCTTTGGGAGTCATGATGACATACCTCATTATGTGTCTAATTTATCCTAATAAAGTTCCTTTAAGGTATTATGTATGGTTGTTCATATTATCTTATGTCTATTTAATAATTTTTAGTGAGTTTATCTAATATGGTCGTTTATATTGTCTTATATTTTGTTGTTTCCTTTTAAAAAAGAGAGTATATATTAGGAATAAAAGAAACTACACAAGAACTCACAACTAAAATAAAATATAAGAAAAAAGAAATAAAATAAAAAATAGGCGATAATAAAATTTTAGTACCGGAAGAAATTATAATACTCTCTTTAAATTTAAGGAGAAAACAATAATAATAATCTCTTTTAGAAATAAGTGAATTTGCATCCCTAAAATCTTGTTTGTTGGTTCTTAGTTCTTCATATCGAGTTTCTAACATTGTTAGAGCCTACCACTAACATGTCATTCACATACAACGACAAAATAATAAAATCATTCTCATAAAATCTATTACAATAGTTTGAACTTAGTCTATTGTAATTAAGACTAATAATGAATAATAAAATCTCTTATACTAACACCTGGAAACCCGATTATACAGGAGTCATAGAAAGTAAGACTTTTTAGATCGATTGTTATGAATCGACATAGAAAGTAATGAGTTTTTTACGTCGGTTTATCTTTGTTATTATCAAATTAAGAGGATTGTCATTGATAGGATTCAAACCTAGTACCTTAGAGTCTAGAGTTGGATAATGATACTCCAACCAATAAACTAGTATAATTTTTATTTATTTACAATTACATTTCCTTTATAATATATTATTTTATTATCTATTAGAAGTTTGAATTATTATCAAATTAAGAGAATTGTCATTGGCAAGATTTGAACCCAAGTACCTTAGAGTTGGAGATCGATACTCCAACTACTAAGCTAGTACGATTTCCTAATTAATAAAATATATAAATACAAATATATTTATATATTTTGATATATTTATATATTTAATTTTTTTAATTTAATATACATTTTCTATGTCGATTAAACTAAAATTATATATTTAATAAAATACACTTTCTATGTCGGTTGAAATTTAACTGACATAGAAAGTGAATTTGCCCACATATTATGTCGGTTACATAACAATTGACATAAAAGTTCATAATATTAGTACAAAAATGTCACTGCCCTACATACTATGACGGGTAAATTACAACCGTCATAAAAAGTCGTCATAGAATCATATTTCTTCACTAGTGTTGCAAACCAAGTTTTCTTTTTCTTTAAGTCTTTTGGTTGGAACACACGAATAATTTTTCTAAGTTCACCTTAAAGAAAAATAATATTTGGATCAATGCTAATAATAACCTTGTGGATAGTGGGATCCACAGGAAATACCCTTTCACATTGTTAACATAATTCAAGAATTTACCTTTCCTCAATAGACTTCCTTTTGTACACCAATAATCTTGTAGAGTAATCATTGTCATTATTGATACAAAATATTTGGTCCCTCCTAGGGATAATACCGACGATTCCAACACATCATAATAAAACAAGTCCAAAATGTATTTTTTTCCTAAGACAATTTTGTTGGACAAATGACATCTAGAGGGAGGTGAATAGATGCACAAATTAAAATAGATGTCAAATTAAAAATTTATTTGTGAGTCAATAATTTGTTAAAGCGGAAACAATAATATAATAAGGAAAAGAGAAAGAGATAAGGGAAAGAGAAGAACACACAGAAATTTATACTGGTTCGGGTATAGCCAACCCTACATCCAGTTCCCAGTCAACTCTTAACACAAGAGTGACTCCCCATTCACTATCTTTCAAATTCAGTTTACAAATTACAATCAACTCAACAGAAGAACCAGTAAAAAATAAACTAATTAAAAAGACAATCACCTCCTTAGAAACTCACTAAGGATGAACACCTCCCTAGAATCCCACAAGGGATGAACACCTCCTCTGAACAAATCAAAGGATGAAAAACACCTCCTTAGAATCTCACTAAGGATGAACACCTCCCTAGAATCACACTAGGGATGAAAACCTCCTTTGAACAAATCAAAGGATGAAAACACCTCCTTAGAATCTCACTAAGGATGAACACCTCCCTAAAATCATACTAGGAATGAAAAAAACTTCCTTTTCCACCAATGCAAAAAGGATGAAGGTAATAAAAATAAGAACAGACACACCTGGGTAATGGAGACAACAAATTGTAGAAGCTCGTAGAAAGCCAATCTCCAAGAACAAGTGTGATTAACAATGAAAGCACGAGAAGACGAGTAGAAGAGGGTTTTCTCAAAAGGTGTAAAATATCTCTCGTTGCCTTGTTCGAATTCTTTTCTCAAAACTGATTGAATGTAAATTGTATTTTCGAATTTCGTAATTGTGTATATTTGATTTTTCATCAAAACATAATTAAATAGAAAAATAACATCGAGAAAATGGCCGTTGGACATTAATAATATCATAGAGAAAATCGGGATGTATTAAAAAACATTTATTCTTTAAAACAGATATATTTTTCAAATTTGAATTGCCATAATTGATTATATTACCAAGTATAATTAATTATGATAGAGAAAATCATTTTTCCATTTCTAGTGCATCATAATTAATTATGACAGATGAAAAATATCATGTTATAAATTTTATCACACTTGTGCTTTGGAGGCTTATGCATAATATTACTTCATCAACTTGTACCTCCATATCCAGTATTCTAAAACTCTATCTAGTCTTCAGGAATCATTTTGGGCTTGCTTGAATCATCATCTTTATCAAAAACATATATTGGGCATGTAGGGAAATGTTTCACATTGTCACCTACGTCATAAATTCAGCTTGTCCTTAAATTCATCTTGAATGGTGTTGACTTGAATGTAGTTGATTTGAATCATCATCAAAATTATCTCTTGGGAATGCAAGAATATTTCCATCAATCTCCCCCTCATTGCTTTCAAATTTGATAAGGGACTCCCAAATCTCCTTCATTGTACCCTTTTCCACAAATTTGCTATAGTGTTGTTGCAAATTTCTTCCCACTTTTAATCTGTGATGCCCTCAATCTTTCTCCAATTACTTTTACATAATTGTCTTTTTTCAAAATTGTCTTTATTTTTAATTTTCACAATGAGAAATTATTCTCATTAAACTTCTCTATCTCATATTTTGTTGTCATGGTTTTAATCGACTTATGCACCTTTCACTATGAATAATATTGTCTAATGGAACACAACAACGTAAACCGTAACTAGTACATCAGGTAAGCTCCCAGGAAAGAGAGATGAGTCACTAATACATACTTAAATATCAAGTTTTTTCTTGCCAAAACTTTTCCTAGGTATGCACTGGCCACACTACCATACTTTATATCTAGTAACAAGAATAAATCTTTTTTGATGTGAAAGATCAAATTAACCGCAACCATAGAGTATATTAAGAATTTTCTTTAATACTATTCTAATGACTATAGTAGCAGAATAATATCATAAATAAAAAATAATCATCGATTTTGATATCACTGTTAGAAATAAGAGTAATAAAATAAAATATGAAAAAAGAGAAACAAAACTGATAATAGACAATAATAGAATTTTACTACCGGAAGAAATTACAATACCCTCTTTAAATCTAAGGAGAAAATAATAATAATATTCTCTCTAAAAAAAATAAGAAAACTTAACTACTATGCAATGCACTAATAGAAATGAGAAGAAAGAGATTTTGGGTGATTTACAAGGTAGATATGGTGCTCTTTTTATAAATCCGAGGGGCTAACAACAGAATAGGACACGAGTAAACCATATAAGAGAATATGACATCATCTTCAATCCAAAATCTTAAGGCATTAGGTTGTGGGTCTTTGTCACTTATAAGTTACTCAACTTTCTCATTTCTATCCATTGTGGGACCTTAAATACACTTGAATTCTCAACAATCTCCCCCTCAAGTGTGATCCCTTTTCACATTGGTATACCTCTCCCTCGAGCGAAAATATTTCTTAGCCATGAGTACCTAGTAGTGACTTTACTTGTATCACTGTTAATCTTAACAAGACTCGCTTGCTTGAAACCTTTGTCAGGAAGACGTTCAACAAAATGACTTTTCACCTACTATAATCATACTCAATTGAGCTGGTCACCAGATAAACCACTTGTCAGGAAGACATTCAACATAATGACCTTTCACCTATTATAATCATACTCAATTGAGCCGGTCATCGGATAAACCATCAGCTCTGATACCACTGTTAGGAATCAGAGTAACTGTATAAGAACTCACAACTAAAATAAAAGATAAGAAAAGAGAAAACAAATTAACAATAGGCGGTAATAGAATTTTACTACCGGAAAAAATTATAATACCCTCTTTAAATCTAACGAAAAAAATAAATAATATTTTCTCTCAGAAATAAAAAAACTCAACTATTATACAATACACTAGTAGAAAGGAGAAGGAAGAGATTTGAAGTAATTTACAAGACAGACATGATGCTCCTTTTATAACAGAAAAAGTAAGCACTAATATATAATTTTCTTGATGTGAGACTTCTCTTCTCATGTTGTCACAATATACAAGTCTCTTTTACCAATATCAAAATTTCAAAACTTTAATCTAACACACAATTTTTTTTTTCAATAAGAAACTATGTAATTCATCACCAATGTAAATATGTAAAAATAAAGTCAATTCTTGTCGTACAAAAAAAATAATTTTCTAAAATATGTTTTTTTTCTCTTTTTCTTTCTTTGTCTAATGTTAGGGGAAAACAAATATTACATCTAATTTTCACATTTAATTAACAGTGAACCGTCTTAGAATGAATGTTGTAGAGTGTTAATACATTCTTAATTGACTCCTGAATCAAAATCTGATTTCAAAGACCAATTTTTTTAAAAAGTTTTTTTTTTGTTATAATTTTTCTTAATAAATTATGGTGTCAATTCTATTTTTTAATATTTTAAAATATTTTTTTTATCATTTTGTCATGATCTTAGTTGTGACAAAAGAGAAACAATCGATATTTCAAGATGACAAGAAGTTGATTATCCAAAAACACGTAAAAGAAAGAGAAATACAAAATTTGTGTACATGTGGCCAGCCGATATCAAGCTACTTATATTTTCATGAAGTTATTACCTACATGTTGATTGAGAATTGGAAAAAACGGATAAAAAATTGGATCAAATTACAGTTATTTCGCATCTATATTAAACCATATTGGTACTCTTGCCCGTCCTCGCCACTGAATATTTGAATTCAGAAAAAGATGAATAAACGATAAGTATAAAGTTGCATATTAACGTACACACTCAATGATAACAGAGTTAGTTAACTTGACCCAATTTGCTTTTACCACATGCCGTATCTTTTGGCAAGTCTCAACCTTACATTTCATTGTTTGCTTCCTCACTTTCCTATGTTCACTGCACTTCCACAAACGTCTTGTCAAACAATAACACAACGTTGTAGCTTTTGTCATCTCAATTATGGGTGAAAAATAATATAAAATTTTAATTATATTTATATATTTCTTATTATTATTTTAAATATTTAATTAAATTTTTTACTACTTATTTAAGATATTTAGTAACTTTTATATTTTATTAACTTATTTAAGTCGTTGTTATGCTGATTATTATATGAAAAAAGATGTTACTCTATTTAATACTATAATAATAATAAATTGGACTTGTTAGATAGATATTTGTATTTTTATAGTTATTTACTACAAAATTTCATCATATTATCAAAGAAAAAATTCTCAAGAAGAACACTATGAATTTAGTTTCTCTCCATTAAGTTCAAGTCATTCGTCCTCCCCTTCATTTCTATTGTAATCATGAATACATCTCCCTCCCAAAATGTTGTCATTTTTGCATGGTTGTTATGAAAAAGAGAAACAAGATGACCAGAGTTGCAGAAGAAAGTATTTGGAAAAATTAAATGAGTAATGCAATAAAAGAATGATTAAGTAAATTTAATGATTACGAAATTTCTTTTTAATTAATGTATTGACAAATTGAGAAAAAATAATATATCAACACCTTTATATATTTTGAGTAAGTATCTCTTTTATTTTATTCAATCAGATGCTAATTTTTTTTATTGATTTAAACATCAAATAATCTTTTATAGGAATTTTCCCATCTTCTTAAATTTAGGTAACAATAAAATATCAAATATTAATACTTTCTTAATTATAATTATCTAAATTAAAATATTTTTTTTATTTTAAAAATAATAAAAATATCTTAATACCTAATTTAAATAAAGAATAATAAAATAATATTTTTAACCATAAAGAAAATAAATGACAAAGATTAGATTTAGTGATGTTGTATAAAAAGTATAAAATAAAATATATTTTTCATATAATAATTATAATATATTATTGAATTAATTAAAATATTTATTTATTTTTTATATATTATTAATTATTTTATTAAAATTTTAATTATCGTCCAAAAATTTTATATACAGTATCAATGAAACAATTCTTCAGAGTCCAATGTTTAAAAAAACTTCACATAAAATCTAGTACATTTATATTAGTCGTGATCTTTTATCAAATCAAACTTTTCTATAATTAAAATTATATATCATTACTTAATAAGTTATATGAGATAAAATTAATTTTTTTTAATAATAACAATCAAATTTATCAGAATAATTAATATAATTTAAAAATCAGATAAAATATTTTAATTATATTAAAGATAAATTATGAGAAAGATATTTTCCGTAGAGTATACCATCACCATTTCTTTTCTTGATTGAGTCGTCGGTTGATTGGCGTGCTCTCTGAACCATTCTTTTATTCTTTTACTTTTCCCATCCCGAGGTTTTTGTTTTTTTTTCTCACGCTAAATTGGAGTGGGGACCGTAGCATTCACTAGTTTGTAGTATTTATATTTGTTAATTCAGAAGTTCAATTCAAACCTGTAGAATATTTGTGTGGATATTATTAACCTGTTGAATAATTTGGCAGATGAATAATCAGAGTTGGAAAATAACTGGCAAGATTGACCAATTAATATGAGAAAAAAAATATACTCTTATAAAATCAATTAAAATAAAATGGTAAAAACATAATCTCTACAATTTTTTAATAATAAAAATCACAATAAAATTTTAAATGCAACTCTTGTAAACAAACTAAAATAAACAAATAATTTATATTTTACTATTATACCTAATCGTACAAAAATTTAGACTTTATTATTAATGGTCAAACACATGTTTACATATTTAAAAAATATATAACAATAATATCTCACAGAAATAAATTTAAAAAGATATAAATATTATATACAATAACATTTTCTCAATCTTTAACTCACTTATAAAAAATTTAGAAATACTGGATTATACTAAAATAAAATTCCACGATTCATTCCCTAAAAAAACACAAATAATCTAAATTTCAAAAACTAATTTTTTTATTTAGACTAGTATTATTAAGTAAGAAATATACAAAAAAAATAATCTGAGAGGAAAAATAAGGATGGATACAACGGTAGTCAAGTCGTTGCTACGCTAATCGTTATATGGGAAAAGATGTGGTGACAATTTTCCAACCAAACATGTCTTCAACCACTCTATTTAATAATATAATATTAATTTTAAATTATTTTTATTTTAATTAAATCATTTTATAATTATAATAATAATAAATACATATTTGTATTTTTATAATTATAATAATAAATAGATATTATAATAATAATAATAATAATAATTAAATCATCTCTTTTATTTTATTTTCTTATTTACCACAAAATTTCATCATATTATCAAAGGAAAAACTGTTTACACTATAAATTTAGTTTCTCTCCATTAAGTTCAAGTCATTCATCCTCCCCTTCATTTCTCTTGTAATCATGAATACATCTCCATCCCAAACTGTTGTCATTTTTGCATGGTTGCTATGTGGAATCATGTTCAACACTGGCTTGTGCAGCTTCACTATTCGTTGCAAGCAACAAGACATGCATGCTCTCTTAAACTTCAAGCAAGGAGTCAAAGATCCATCTGGTCTTCTTTCTTCATGGTCAACTGAACTAGATTGTTGTGAATGGAGAGGAGTCAACTGTAACAACATCACAAGTAGAGTTACTGACCTCAGTCTCCCATGTTCTACAACTCTTCCATCTTACCTTGACAGAGAAGATAAATCACATTGCCTTACAGGTTCCATTCACCTATCCTTGTTGTTAATGGAGTTGGAATTTCTAGATTCCTTGAATTTGAGAAATAATGACTTCTTTGCCATACAATTTGATTATATGCATAATCATAATTGTCATAACCTATCTGCAACTACTCCTCATCACTGTGTTAACTCTTCAACTCTTCGTCATCTTGATTTATCATTGAATACAAAACTTGTCCTTAATAGCCTTCAATGGCTTCCCTCCATTTCCTCCTTGGAATATCTCAACCTTCGTTACATTGATCTTAGCAAGGAAACTAATTGGCTTCAATTGGTGACTATGCTTCCATCACTTTCATATCTTAATATGCGTTCTTGTCAGCTGGAAGACTTGAGTTTGTCTACTCAATATGCTAATTTCACTGCTCTCAAAGTTCTTCGTCTTTCCGCAAATGAATTTAACTCAGAATTACCTAAGTGGCTATTCAATCTTAGTTCCAATATCTATTCTTTAGACCTTAGTTCAAGTTCTTTGATAGGACATCTACCTAAGGCTTTGTTAAATCTTCGAGAGCTGGAAGACTTGGTCTTGGAAGACAATAACTTCGATGGACCCATTCCAGATTGGTTAGGTGAATTTGAACACCTGCAAGTTCTTATTATTGGAGTAAATATGTTTTCTGGATTTATCCCCACAAATTTGGGAAACATATCAACCTTAACTAACTTGGATGTGGCCTCAAATCCATTGACAGGAGTTGTGTCGGAGAGAAATCTAGCCAAATTGTCAAAATTAAAAGTTCTTTATATATACTCGTATTCAGCGTTAATCTTTGATTTTGACTCCCATTGGATTCCACCTTTTCAACTTGAAGAATTAGTTATCGGATTTGCAAACCCTAACCTTCCCACATGGTTATATACACAAAAATCTATTGAAAGTTTAACTATTTCTGGATCATCTTTTGAGGTCCAAGACAAATTTTGGAATTATGTATCGAGGATGAGTGAACTTGAATTAGAAGGTAATTCAATATATGGGAATATTTCAAATGTGTTGTTGAACTCTACATTCATTGATCTATCATCAAATGGTCTGAAGGGTTGTTTGCCTCGATTATCAGCAAATGTGGCTATTGCGGCGTTGTCAAATAATTCATTAACAGGAGACTTGTCTCCCCTCTTATGTGATCATAAGATGTTGAATGGGAAAAACAATTTGGTTTTCTTGGACATATCACAAAACCAATTATCTGGAGGGCTTACAAGTTGTTGGAAGAATTGGAAATCTTTGGTGGCTATTCACTTGGGAAGCAATAATCTGGAAGGAAAGATACCTCCATCCATGGGTTTGTTACCTAATCTTACCTCACTCCATCTGCATGAGAATAATCTACATGGAGAAATTCCTTCCTCATTGCAAAATTGTCGCTCTTTATTGGTCTTCAATGTTCGCAATAATCATTTTTCAGGGAACATTCCAAACTGGATATCACACAATGTAATGGCTCTCCAACTAAGGTCCAATAATTTTAGCGGTAAAATCCCACCTGAGATATGCAAAATGTCTTCTCTCATTATATTGGATATTGCATACAACACAATCTCAGGACATATACCCACCTGTCTTGATAATATCAAAGCCCTAATTTTCAACACTGTTTCAAAATCGAAACTTTCTTTTTTTTTTCCCTTCATTTGGTGATCGTTACTTGATCAATAACGATAATCTTGAGTTGGTTACAAAAGGTCAAGTATTAGATTATGAAAAAAATCTACACTTTATGACCTTAATTGATATGTCAAGTAACAATTTGTCTGGAACAATACCTCCCCAAATGTTTAGACTCACTGGATTGTCGTCCTTGAACTTGTCCCACAATAAATTAGCAGGGAAAATACCAAATGAGATCGGAAACATGAAAAACTTGGAGTCTCTTGATTTTTCAACAAACCAACTTGAGGGTGAAATTCCTGAGAGCTTATCCAGTTTGTCCTTTTTGGGTTCCTTAAACCTGTCATTCAACAATTTGACAGGCAAAATACCATCAGGCACACAACTTCAGGGGTTTACTGCACTGAGTTATATGGGAAATCGTGATCTTTGTGGACCTCCACTTACCGAATTGTGCTTTCAGGATGATAAACATAAAGACACAAAACTTGTAGATGAAGACGGACACCGATCTGAATTTTGGCCATGGTTTTACATTGGAATAGAATCTGGATTTGTGACGGGCTTTTTGGGAGTTTGTTGTGGCATTTTCTTAAGCAGAAGATTGAGGCACGCTTACTTCAAGATTGTTTCTGACTTGAGAGATCGACTTTATCTGATGATAGTCATCAACATAAATCCCTTCCGTAAAGATGCAGAGCAATACTGGTTAGTACAAACTTTTTATGCTAATTTGTGTTTACCTACTCATTCTTACACAATTATGTCAAAAGTATAAACTAACAATTATAACAAAAATTTGTATTTCAAAGAGAAGTAGTTAAATAATAAAAGTAAAATCAAATATTTATTAAAATATACTTTAGTTCTTAGTTTTTATTGTGATCTATTCTTTATATATTGTTTGAACCGTTAGTAAGATTTATATGTGATTCATTTAAAAACATATATAAGTGAGAAAAAAAAAGTTAATATATTAACAACTATTTGAGAAAAAAAGGAATTGAGTTTAGAACAAAAAGAGAGAATATCTTTTTCAATTCCATTGAAAATTAAATTGAGTTTGAATCCTTACCCCACATATCGCATGTGCCTCCTAACTTTCAAGCTTTCCGTTCCAAATTCAAGCCCTTTAAAGTAATCATACCACATTAAAAAAATAAAATAATAAATCTTAGTTATTAATTTGAAAATCAACAATCATATTACGTACTCATGTTTTACAAATCATGATTTTATTCCCTTGATTTTTCATCTATTACTCAGATTATATAATTAACTTACATTTTTTTTATGAGCTAAATTCTTTATATGTATGATCTTCAATCAACATATTTAAACTATTTATTCTCTATTTCAAAAGAATAACTTAATACAATGATTAAAAAAGATTTAGATGAATGAACTCAATATAATATTTTTCCTTAAAGGTATATTTAGTATGCACTAAAACTGTGAAGTAGCAAAATTCTATGATAATGAAGCCTTTAAAGTTTACCCATTTATCTATTCATTCATATAAAAATTCTTTTATTGTCTTGTTTCTTTAGGCATTTCTCATTATTCAAAAGGACTAATTAAGTGATCAAGTGTTGGAGAAGAAAACAACAATGGTGTAGTTCTTATGACAAAACCACAAGCAATGTGAGCATGGATGAGCTTAATATTTAGATTTGTTTATTATCAATAGTTGGTGTATTTTGATTTTCTTGTTAAGTTGGGGTGATGGTTTTCTATTTTCTCTTTTTGGTTTTCCATTCTGCATTATGCAAAGTATTCATGTAAGTGTGTTTATCAATTAGCATTTAAGTTATATGATTATGATGTATTTTATATGGAGATGGTGACTATTCCATATAAATTAAAATTAAGTCAACCCTAAAGACTATTTTATCATCATGCAACTAATTTGTCATATCATTTCAACTAATTTCTAACTTCTTCCTTTTCTGCCTAACAAGTTTGTGTCATCATAGTTAGATTTTGATATAAAAAAACATTTAATAATTTATAGCATTTTTCAAACGCTGACTTTTAGCATTTTATATTTTATTTTTAATATATTTATATAATTTATTTTTCACTCTTTTTCATGTTATACATGCTTTTATTATTTTATTTTCTCTATTTTTATTAATTTCTTTATATAAATTATTTTTTCTTTTATTAAATAGTATATTGATAATGATAAAAAGATACTTATTATTTATTATTATTATTTCATACTTTTTATATTTTTTTTCAAGTTATTATATTATATATATATATATATATATATATATTTAACGTTATTTTTTTTTTTTAGATAAGAAGTTAAACGGGTGGACAAAATTAATGTTATTCAATTTAAGACACAATTTTTTTTGTTTTTGTTTTTACCTTTAACTTATTTTTAAAGTTTTTAATAAATTATTTTGACATTTTAATTCTATATAAATTAGCAAATTGTGAAAAATCCGTCTTTATAAGTTAAGATCATGACAACGCTTCAAGGACATCCTAGCATATGATCTTTAACGAGGTTAAAAAGGTCAGAAAAATACTTGTCCACTACGTGATACATTGGAACGTATAATTTTTGTAATAAGAAATCAACAATTTATTTAAAAGAAGCGTTCCTGATACAATGATTCAGTGCAGAATTTTAAATGTTCAAAGAGAAATCAATGAAATAGTAACCACCACCACTCTAATACTCACGATTCTGACACAGAGTAACCACACCTGGAGATTTAAAAAGGAATAGAATTAGGGAATGAATTATTCAAAACAGCTTAATCAAGAATACTAGAGAGAAGGAAGTTACAGGGAGATGTCATACCACTCACAATGAATTCCCGCAACTTAATATTCTCTCTCCTGTGTTACATTTGCTTCTACGCACTTGTGTAATCCTCCACATGTTCATTTGAGCTAACCGAATCTCTCTTGCTTTCCTCACCCTTTCCCGCACTTGTAACATTACTTCCTCCTTTGAAAACAACCTTGTCCTCAAAGTTGAGCTGAGGGTAATTTTCATGGGAATATTTTTGCAAAATTTTAATAAAAATTGCAAGAAATAAGTTTTCTATAAATTTAAACAATTTTTTGCAAAAATATTGGCAGAAAAAAACTAGTTTTCTAGTAGTGAAGTTGCCTTATGTCCTTTAAGTCTTCCCAAGAATTATCATTATTATTTGACGAGTCCCATTGAATTAATACTTAGGAAATGTCCTTCCCATTTTGTGATCACCCTTGTTGCTAAAGTCTTGATAGGTTGGAGTATAAGACCAAACTCATTCGTAGCAAGTGGCAAAGGAAAATATTATTGTGGAGTGGGACCCTGAAACTTTTTGAGTAGGATATGTGGAACACAGGATATATACGAGCTGAGTCTGGTAACTTCAATTTATAGGCCACCTTCCCAATTTTCTGTAAGACCTCGAAGGGACCAAAATACCTCAAACTTAACTTTTGATTTTTTTTAAGGACCACAGAGTGTTGTCTATACGGTTGCAGTTTCACTAGAGCTAAGTCCCCAATCTCTAACAGAACATATTTTCTTCTTTTATCAGCCTGCACTTTCATATAATTTTGAGACTTGTATAATTTGCCCTTCAATTGTGTTAACAACTCATCACGAGCTTTAAGTTTTTCTTGTACTGATGGAGGGTCATTGTCATTAACTTGGTAATGAATTACAACAGGGGGTGGTTTACCATACAAGCTTAGTAGGGAGTCAAACCAATACTGTGATGCAGTGAGGAATTGTACCGGAATTGTGTCCACGGTAACATCTCTACCCAAGTTTTAGGGTGATAAAAAATGAAACACCTAGATATATTTTTCCCCTGAGTCTGAAATTCAGGGGGAGAATTATGATGAAGTTCATACTTTTGTTCCTTAAGAAATTGATATTGAGATAAGATTAGAGAAATAAAGTTACAAAGTTGTATTAGGAGATGATGAAAGTGTGCAACAATGTGATGATCAACAACCACAGAATGAGGAAGAATTTGAGCATATCGAGATCGAAAGTTTGCCTATTGATGTTAATGATATACCACATCAATCGTCCCTTGAAGAACTTAATACAGAAAAAAAAATTCTGCCAGATTGTGTCACTAGAGGTATCCTTAAGCCTACTTATGATCCTAACCTCACCAGTAAGACAAGATACCCTATGAGTAATTATATTTGTAACCATAATTTATCTAATTCAAATATCACATTTATAAGTCAATTATATATTGTATCTATTCCTAACAGTGTGCAGGAAGCTTTAGCTGACTCCAGGTGGAAGGATGCTATGAATGAGGAAATGAGATCCTTGCAAAGAAATAAAACATGAGAATTGGTAGATTGTTCAGTTGGAAAGAAACCAGTAGGATGCCAATGGGTGTATCCTGTGAAATTTAATGCAGATGACACAATTGAGAGATTCAAAGCTAGATTAATGGCAAAGGGGTGTACATAAGCATATGGAATCGATTACACTGAAACATTTTCTCCCGTAGCCAAAATTAGCACAGTTCGAGTATTGTTATCTCTAGCTGTAAACCTTGATTGGTCCTTACAACAATTTGACATAAAAAATGTCTTCTTACACGGGGAATTATTTGAAGAAGTTTATATGGAGCTACCAAAAGGATGTGGAATCCTGGATACACATAGCAAGAAGGTATGCAAGTTGAAGAAGTCATTGTATGGTCTAAAACAATTACCACGAGCATGGTTTGGTAGATTCATCAAGGCAATGCTTGCTTTTGGATATCAATGAAGCAACCAAGATCATACCTTGTTTCTAAAGAAAAATAAAGGAAAGATTACAATTCTTATTGTCTATGTTGATGACATGATAGTTACGGGAGACGATCTAGAAGAACACAAGGCATAGAAAAAGTACTTGGCAAAGGAATTCGAGATGAAGGATCTTGGTCCTTTGAAGTACTTTCTTGGAATTGAGGTCTCAAGATCAAAGTCAGGTATTTTTCTCTCATATTGAAAGTATGCATTGGATTTACTGAAAGAAACTAGAATGACAACATACAAACCAACAAATTCTCCAATTGAAGGGGGGATTGAAGTTATGCATTGAACAAGATCAAAGTCTAACTAACAAGGGAAAATATCAGAGACTTGTAGGGAGATTAATGCATCTCTCACACACTAGACCAGATTTAGCCTATGCTCTTAGTGTGGTTAGCCAGTTCATGCACAATCTAGGTGAAAAACACATGGATGTTGTTATATGGATTTTAAGATACATAAAAGCCGCTCCTGGAAAAGGAGTTATTTTCAAGAAGAATTCCAACTACAAGGATGTGATGATTTATATTGATGCAGATTGGGCAAGTGCTCTTGATGATAGAAGATCAACCTCTGGATACTTTACATTTGTAGGAGGTAATCTTGTCACATGGAAAAGCAAGAAGCAGAAAGTTGTAGCTAGATCCAGTGCATAAGATGAACTTACAAGCATGGTTCTTGGACTTTGTGAAAGTTTGTGGCTCAAATTACTTCTCTAGGATTTAGGGTATGCACATACACATCTCATTTAGTTGTATTGTGATAATAAAGTTGCGCGCGACATTGTTCACAACCCTGTCCAACATGATCGGATGAAGCATGTGGAGGTTGATAGATTTTTCATCAAGAAAAAGCTTGATAAAAATATTCTGAAATTGCCAAATATATGATCTGAAGATCAGCTAGCAAACATTCTTACCAAAGATGTAACAAGTTAGATTTTTAGGAGATTATTGGACAAGTTGGGAATGTATAACATCTATTTACCAACTTGAGGGGGAGTGTTGAGATGAAGATATTTGATTAGCTAAATTATAGGTTTGTATAGCTGTATAAAATAGTGCATAATCAGAACTTACTTTATTTAGTCATGATTTATAGGAGTAAAATGCTATAAGAACATGATATATGTATCCAAAAAATATATGAATAAAATTATAGAATGAATTCTATATTTTTCAATTGGACATTCCTTCAAATTACCTTTATAATTACTGGGGCAAATTTAGTTCTGGGTGCTGCTTGGTTGGCTACTATGTGCCCTCATATTTCTTATTACAGTAATTTGCCTCTGAAGTTCTATTTGAATAACCAGTTTATTACCTTACATGGTGAACATTCCAAACTACCAAGCCCTGCCCAATTTACTCACTTAAGGCGAATGCACGATAGACATGCTATAGTTGAGTTATCTACGCTCCAAATACTTCCTCCCGATTTGCCTCAAGGCCATTGTTTATCTCTTCATAGATATGGAACCAGAATTGGCGGGTCTACTGCAAACTTACAAATAGGTTTTCTCCGTGCCTTCGGGTTTAACCTCCTTCTAAAGCCCATAATCATTCAATTTAATTGCTTCCAGCTTTTGTCCCTGTTAAGGTCCAACCTTAGAAATACCCCCATAGCTAGAAAATGCAAATTGAAACTATGATCCATGACATGCTACAGGAAGGGATTATTGTGCCTAGCACCAATCCATTTTCTTCCCCCATTGTCTTGGTCAAGAAGAAGGAAAGCACATGGAATTTTTGTACAGACTATCGGGTTTTAAATGCTATTACAGTGAAGGATAC